CAGAATCCAGAAGAATTTGTTCCTAAAGCCAGTGAAGGAATAGACTTGCTAGAGAGCATAAGAATAAGCAGGCAAAGAAAGAAAACTTCCTTCTTCCATGTCTTTTATATACGCTGTCAGCAGAAGAGGTGGACCAGATTAAACATGAATCTTCCCAACTCAAAAATCTTGATTAAAGGTATATCTTTTCACCTAAAAAATCTGAATTAGAAGTGGTCTTGCCCAATTCAAATGATTTAATTAAGAAATGAAAATCCATCACAGGTGTACCCAGCCATTTGTGGTTCCATAAATTCCAGATGTAGTCAAATTGACAAAAATAACCATAACATGTGGGGGTTCAGGTAGGGAAGGGGGAGTTAATATGAAAAAATACATTTTATGAAATTCTCAATCAATAAAAAATATAATTTGAAACACAAAGAAAAATGAATAAGTCCTGTAATATAGAGTCTCTTTTTCTCTCCGTGTGTGTGTGTGTGTGTGTGAGAGAGAGAGAGAGAGAGAGAGAGAGAGAGAGAGAGGGGGGGTGCAAAGATGCAGAGGGTGTATTTGAGATTATCATTATTAAGATTCATTTAAGATCAAGAGTTTTGGTGCTTCATGTTTATTAAGAATAATTAAGTGTATATGTGGATAGTCAGGCATTTTGGATTTACTTACTTCATCTATCTACCTCCACTTTCTATACTAATTCTAATGTCTATGCTCAGCCTGTATCAACCTAGAAAAAAGACTGTGCTAAACAAAGCATTCCCCCTCAGTCCACTTTTCCAAATGCACTAGGTTATCAGTGCATGGAATTCATAGGTGGGAAGAAAGGCCTATTGACAAAGTCAAGAAATCCTTCAGAACATAGCTAAAAGCATTGTAGTTTAATTCAAAACCCACACAAATCCATTTGTAAGTAAATGTGAGATGGAATGTAATGGATAATGCATAGCTTAAATTGATTTCCTTTTGACATGATAAAATGATTTTATAAAAGATGTTGAAGTTTGGCTTTTGATGCAAAATAACATAATTTAGATTTTAAAGTAGAAAATCTTTTGTTGATATTAGTTTATTTGATTCAGTTCAATGTACTAGAATTATTTGCTATAGGTTAAAAATTAGCTTTGAACCAAGTATAATTCATAAATCATTACTTATGACTGATTCATCAAAAACTTCATAAATTGCAATAATACAATGACCTTGAAGGGAGCCAGAAATAGAAGCTACAACTCAGCCTTGGTAAAGAGGAAAAAGAGACTCACATCACCTGGAAGTAACAACTGTATTCATATGCCCATGTTTTCATGTGTATTCATGATCATGTCAGCTATTCCTTATGATAACATCAATTAGGAGATATTTAAACAGCCATTGAAAAAGAGGAAAATCACAGTGTTTTCTGGAAAATAAATGAATATGATATTCATTGTGTTAAACAAAAAAGCTAGACAATTATCGCATGTTTTCTTTTATATGAAGATTGTAAGGATGTGTTGAAGGAATAAACAGAGTGTCTTTACCACTTAATTTTTAAGATGCATTACGGGAATATTCTATATTACCTACCATAGGCAATAACTTGTATTATGTGACAGTCGTATCAAAGAACTTTGGAGTGAATAGCAGTGCTACCTTTCAATGAATATACAAATAAAAAGTTGAAATAAGCCTCCCAGTTTTAACGACACAGAGATTTGCAAATTGGTATGAAATCCATTCTCTATTGAGACCTATTGTATGCAAAATGTGGCAAGTGACAGAAGAAGGACTTATTGTCTTTACAACTATGTTTTTACAACTAACCTATACTGCTCCAGTCCCCAGGATTTTGTAAGGAGGGTCCTGGTATCTAAAATAGAAAAAAGGAGAGTGGGAAAGGGCACTGAGATGCCAACCTTATAAAAAACATGAATTGGTTCATTAATAAATGACTTTGAAATAAAATCTTTTATTTTTAATGACTTTAATTAAATCCATATTGTAGAAAATGAATTTGCATGTAAAACTGCCCATAGTCAAGATTGCTGCAAGTTACAATACTTTCTAATGAAAATATAAATAAACAGGATTTAAAATGTTTATTTGTATTAGTACTTTGAGAATTTCATATATCATCTTATTTTCATCATATTTACTCTCCTTTTCCCAGTTCTTCCCAAATCTACATCCTCCTTTCCTTCTCTCCTGATTTTGTGCCCTCTCCCCTACCCATTTGCCAGTGCTGGGCTATTCTGGCATTGGAGCCTGGCGCCAATATTTTGTCTCATAGTGATGAACATAGATTATTATTCATATCAATTCCCTTGTTATTTTACCATTTAAATTTATATTCCCCCAGGGACAAGGATTCCATTCCTTGTCTTTATATTTCTAGTAATGAGCAAGATGTCTGGCTGAGAAACTCCAAAAGTAGAAACATTGATAATAATAAAAATGTTTAACATTAACTCATTTTTCACAACATGGTAGGTATATTTTAAGTCCTTTAACTGCATTAGCTTTTATACTCACAACCTTGAGGAGTGAGTGATGGTGCCATTTCTATTTTACCAGTGAAGAGAAGACACTGGGCCATAGAATGTATGAGTAACTTGCCCAGTGTTATAACTAATACAAACTAATCTTGTCCATTTTTCATTAGAATGTTGTGAACTTCTAACCTCCCTACTTCTTTCTTTCTGAAAGATTCATAGAAACAACAAAAAAAGTTACACCTATTTTTCTGTAAATCAAACTTGGCACTTATGTAATTAAATTAGTAATTGACCCTTCCACTGCAGACATCAGCAGATTCCATTACACCAAGTTACATATGTGAATCTCGATGAAAGCTCATATTCACATATATGTGTGTGTGTGTGTGTGTGTGTGTGTGTGTGTGTGTGTATCTATATATCTGTTAGTCCATCCTCATGAAAGCATAAATTAAGTTGTCATCACTTATAGCTGAGGTTGCTCCCAGGGGAAGATATTTAAATAAATTAATTGTGAAACACTAACCTTTTTTCTTCACTAGCATGTTCACAAGATGTTTCTATTGTGGACCAATCTGATGATCTCTGAGTCCTGGTTTCATACTTTAACAATATGAGTTCTTGCGTGTTTCTTCTCCTGTGATTCTTATTCTTTAAAGTTGAGAACATAATGCCTATGTCAGAGGAGTGTTTTAAACATTGAAGAAGATACTAGGGATTGATCAACATGGGCATGTACCATGTACAGTTGTAAACTAAAAAACAGTTAGGCGTTTCTGTTCTTGGTTAAGGGTCAATTGTCACCAACTAAAAATTCTTAATAATTTTTAACAAGGCCTCACACAATTTACCTTTTCATTAGACACCAGAATTTAGTCTTTCCTGCATAACTTTATTTTTGAATTCTGTAGCACATAGTACCTGCTACAGAAGAAGGATTTCATAGATGTGCCCGCTCTTAGTAATTTTGCATGGGAAAATTATTTAGATTTGTTGGCTGGATATAGAGCCTGAATCTTATATTCTGTACATTTCTCATCTCAGATGGACACTGAAGGAAAGGATGGAGCTCATGACATACACCTTCATGAATCTGGCTTCTGCACAGTTGGCAGCTGTTAAGCACTTCATTGGGGTCTTCCGTCTCAATGTTCCATTTCTCCGTGATTAAATATCTGATTGCATGCAAATGGTGAATGACTGCAAATTTGGACTACAGAAATACTTCTCTGTGAATATCAGCAATGTAACCCACCAAGAACTATTAAATTTGTTTACCACAAAGGTTATTAATTAATTAATTAATTAATTAATTAATTAATTGAAAGTTAATGCAGATAAAGAACTTAAACAATTACCTGCCACATTGTGCAACTGAGTAAATGTTAAACATTGTTATTATTATCATTGTTTCTACTTTTGCTGTTTCTAAGCCAGACATCTTGCTTAGCACTGGAAATATAAAGATGAGGAATGCAATTAATTAAATTTAATGTTAATTTTACCAATAATGTTTTTAGCTCCTTACTATGTTGAGAGTAGTACTCTGGGAAGATATTTGAAGAAGTAATACTTTTTTGTTTCCTTTGTTTTTCAGACTGTTTGAACTCCAGAAGGACCAACACCAGATAAATTATGAATGTTGAACAAGATGACCTTACATCCACAGCAGATAATGATAGGTCCTAGGTTTAACAGGGCCCTATTTGACCCCCTGCTTGTGGTGCTGTTGGCTCTTCAACTTCTTGTTGTGGCTGGTCTGGTTCGAGCTCAAACCTGCCCTTCGGTGTGCTCCTGCAGCAACCAGTTCAGCAAGGTGATTTGTGTTCGAAAAAACCTTCGTGAGGTTCCTGATGGCATCTCCACCAACACAAGGCTTCTGAACCTCCATGAGAACCAAATCCAGATCATCAAAGTGAACAGCTTCAAGCACTTAAGGCACTTGGAAATCCTCCAGTTGAGCAGGAATCATATTCGAACCATTGAAATTGGGGCCTTCAATGGTCTGGCGAACCTCAACACTCTGGAACTCTTTGACAATCGTCTTACTACCATCCCGAATGGAGCTTTTGTGTATTTGTCTAAACTGAAGGAGCTCTGGTTGCGCAACAACCCCATTGAAAGCATCCCTTCCTATGCTTTTAACAGAATCCCTTCTTTGCGCCGCCTAGACTTAGGGGAATTGAAAAGGCTTTCATACATCTCAGAAGGTGCCTTTGAAGGTCTGTCCAACTTGAGGTATTTGAACCTTGCCATGTGCAACCTCCGCGAAATCCCTAACCTCACGCCGCTCATCAAACTGGACGAGCTAGATCTTTCTGGGAACCATTTGTCTGCAATCAGGCCTGGCTCTTTTCAGGGGTTGATGCACCTTCAAAAACTGTGGATGATACAGTCTCAGATTCAAGTGATTGAACGCAATGCCTTTGATAACCTCCAGTCACTAGTGGAGATCAACCTGGCACACAACAATCTAACATTACTGCCTCATGACCTTTTCACGCCCTTGCATCATCTAGAGAGGATACACCTTCATCACAACCCATGGAACTGTAACTGTGATATCCTGTGGCTCAGCTGGTGGATAAGAGACATGGCCCCCTCGAACACAGCTTGTTGTGCCAGGTGTAACACTCCCCCCAATCTGAAAGGGAGGTATATCGGAGAGCTGGACCAGAATTACTTCACATGCTATGCTCCGGTGATTGTGGAGCCCCCTGCAGACCTCAATGTCACTGAAGGCATGGCTGCTGAGCTGAAATGTCGGGCATCTACATCCCTGACTTCTGTGTCTTGGATTACTCCAAATGGAACAGTCATGACCCATGGGGCATACAAAGTGCGGATAGCTGTGCTCAGCGATGGCACATTAAATTTCACAAACGTAACTGTGCAAGACACAGGCATGTACACATGTATGGTGAGTAATTCTGTTGGCAACACTACTGCTTCTGCCACCCTGAATGTTACTGCGGCAACCACTACTCCTTTCTCCTACTTCTCGACTGTAACAGTAGAGACTATGGAACCTTCTCAGGATGAGGCACGAACCACAGATAACAATGTGGGCCCCACTCCAGTGATCGATTGGGAGACCACCAATGTAACTACATCTCTTACGCCACAGAGCACAAGGTCGACGGAGAAAACATTCACCATCCCAGTAACTGACATCAACAGTGGAATCCCAGGAATTGATGAGGTCATGAAGACAACCAAAATCATTATTGGGTGTTTTGTGGCCATCACGCTCATGGCTGCTGTGATGCTGGTCATTTTCTACAAGATGAGGAAACAGCACCATCGGCAAAATCACCATGCTCCAACAAGGACTGTTGAAATCATTAACGTGGATGATGAGCTCACTGGGGACACACCCATGGAAAGCCACCTGCCCATGCCTGCCATTGAGCATGAGCACCTAAACCACTATAACTCTTACAAATCTCCCTTCAACCACACGACAACAGTAAACACAATAAATTCAATACACAGTTCAGTGCATGAACCGTTATTGATCCGAATGAACTCTAAAGACAATGTACAAGAGACTCAAATATAAAACATTTACAGTTACAGAAAACAAACAATCAAAAAGACAGTTTATTAAAAAATGACACAAATGACTGGGCTAAATCTACTGTTTCAAAAAAGTGTCTTTACAAAAAAAAACAAAAAAGAAAAGAAATTTATTTATTAAAAATTCTATTGTGATCTAAAGCAGACAAAATTATGTGTATTCCTCAGAACCTGTTTTTGCTGCACTTACTACTTTCCCACACCTCCTCCCTCCCTTCCCCGATTGCCATATTTTTCATAGATCTCAATTCCCTAAAGAACTGGTCTAGGAAATTTTGTAAGAATTCTGTTACACTTTGAAATTTTTATGGTGAATTCTAGTGGTGAGATCCAGTCTATTTTGTCTCTTTCTCTCTCTAATTTTTTTTCTTTTTTTTCTTTTTCCTTCATGCCCTTCTGAAGTAGTCCAATGGGGAATGCAATATTAGAAATAGATTTTTAAGAAAGAATGAGGAAAAATGCAAGATCTTATATTTTTCATGTAATGACCTGTTCTGTATTTATGAGGAGGACATTCTGTGGAGAAAGAAAAAAAAAAGTAAGCAAACAACAGATTAATTTACATATAAGCATCTATAAAACCCATGACTTTAAAAAAAAAAAAAAAACCTCTAGAACCAGAATTTGTAGTTCAAAAAGCTTAAAATAAGATTATAAATAAAATATTGTTGGTTTTTCTGTACCTGGACATAGCTCATTTGTAGTCTGGCTCAAATATGAGAAACTTGAAGGTAATAGATTCCTTATTTTCTAAGAAAGATATTACTATAGTACTCTTTAATCAAAGCATCATTTTCTACATGTCTCTGCTGCTTTATTTGACTTAAGTTGTCTACCAGTATTCAAGGATGCTATGAGACTCTTTCCTTCCCAATGTGACTGCCCCTTGTAAAATTTTCAGATGAACAGAGAGCAATTTATGATCAAAATTTATTTCAAGTAGGGAGAAAATTTGCTTTTTTCTAAAGAAAACCCCACAGACCAGGTGAAATATTGCCACAAAAGTGGGACCATACTAAATTTCCCACAGTTGAAAAAAAATAATTTGGGGATCTGAGTGTTAGCAAATTTAGTTGAATGAAAATGACCAAAGAACTAAAATGAACTAAAATCGTCACTTGAGTAACATGGGTACACAAATAACAAAGCCCGGTTCACTTCTAAGGATTATTCTCAGTGTATTACTATGAGCTAGCACTAATTTTTATTTTGTGCTTAAAAGACAGTGTCCTGGGATCGCAAAATCTCAAACTATTCAATCATTATTATTACAGAAACTTCCTGGATTCATGGTTTCTCACATTTCTCTGGGAGAGATAACGTTTTCCTTTAGAATGGAGATTCCCAGGCTTTGAGAGGTATGAAAATGGAATCCTGGGTATCCTGGAAACATGAGGCTATATGACGAGATGAGAAGGCTGGTGCAATGGTCGCTTACTAAGACTTCCTTTAAAGGAGCTGTGGAAATTTAGTTAAGAGGACATATACTGGCTTTCAAAAGGAAAAGAGAGCAACCCACTGGCTGGGAACATTATCATGTTCCTGACATTTTAATATATGACCTTTAACTTTATGTCTGTGGAGTGATGATATATTGACAGGCAGCCAGACATGCAGGCACATGAGCACACATGAACATAACTTTTTATTACTGGCCTTAAACCTTGCCCTCTTACCAAAGTGAGAAGACAAGGATTGACTAAACAGAAGAAAACACATCTCCTAATGGGTGAACAGCTTCAATACTCACATTTACTTCTGCAGTCTAGACCACATGCCAGGATTTGTGGTCTCCAGTTGTGAAAAAACAATCATTTCCAGCACATTGGTTAGAAAAAAATGGAGGAATGGGTAACAAATGAATGCAACTACACAAAAGTATTTCTTCTATTCTGCAGTCACACACTCGGGCTTAATTCTTCTGTATCCCCTGCTTCCCTTTGTTGCAAACATTATTCACATTTGCTCTCACTGTTCAGTAGACACAGGAAAAGAGAAAGTATATATTGACTGTAATATGTTACTTTATTTTCTACTGAATGTATCTAATACTTTATTTTCCAGCAGCAGATAAAATACATGACATAACATGTGAGAATACATACATACACACAGAGATGCATATTTACACACATATATACACATTTTGAGTGTGAAATTGTGTCTTGTATGAAGAAGAGAAGTACTAATGAGTAGGGAAATGGGTCTTACCTTCTCTACTTGACATCTATTCCTCGTTTAGACTTACAAACTTCTGTCTACTGACCCTCTTTTACTTTAAGCTTATGATTATTATAAGGTTAGACCTAAAATATTCTGATCATTAACTGCGTTGGGTGGCTAAATAGTGAAATCCAAGCTTGCACTAAAAATAAAAATTGAGGACAAAACCTAAACTATGTGATACATGAAGACAGAATATTATACTAGAATAATGCATTTCAGAAATCAAATATAATGATGGAAGAGTTCAATTAATCAAACTAAGTTACAAAGCAAATTCAGACTTGTTTCACAACAAGTCCTCATTGCAGCTATAGAGATTAAAAGTGAAGATATATATATATATATATATATATATATGTATATGTATATATATGTATATATGGAAACTGAAGCGGAGTCAAGATCTTTTCTGGCTAATTGTATGCATATTTGCTCATGACTTTAGGAATAATTTGGTTTGCTAGAGACATATCCTGACATACTTGAGGAGAAAAATCCTGTATGGTCACTTACATATACTTTCTGCCAAACGAATTCCATGTGTACTCATCTTTTCATCCTACGTAAAGGCAACTAACTGGTAGATTCTGAAAACGCGCGCACGCGCACACACGCACGCGCGCACACACACACACACACACACACACACCTTAGAAACAACCAAGTTAAGGAAACCTGGCAGTCTGTGGTGTGGTGTGTGTGTATGTGTTTGCATTTGTGTGTGTGTGTCTGTGTGTGTGTGTGTGTGTGTGTGTGTGTGTGTGTGTTTTGGGGGGCATATCATCCACAGACATTCTTGAAAAGAAGATTATTTAATTTATATTTTTCTAGTTGGGAATCAAATCTTCATAATTCACAATGACTAGTTTCTCAAATTCTTTACCAGTTGTGTTGGTGCGCATGTGTTGATGAAGTGTTGGAAGAATTTGGATATCTCAGATACATAGGCTCTGGTCCAGCTTTAATAATTTTCCCTCGTGTCCTAAATATTGTGGAATAAACTATTCTCATTTCTAATGCTTAGCTTAGGTCAATGGAATAGGGAAGAGTTATGAGTAATTTTTAAAGAAAAAAATATTGCTATTCCATGATAATTTTCAGCCTTATGATCAGAGAATCAAAAAATCTAGGTGGTATTTAAGATCTGTAGACTGTGATATTATGAATAAAGACATTCTAGGAAAGAACAAAAGAAGGGTTACTACCTTTGTCAGTGAAAAGAAATAAAGTATTGTAATAATATAACTGAATGAAATATGAAAGACACATTAGATTGTGGCTTTAGAGAACACAGCCTTTCCAGGGTATATGTTAACCAAATTAAAAAAAAAAAAATGCCCCTTCTGTCTTTTCTCAGTAAAATCTTCATAGTATTTAGGTGAAGTCTTAGATGAATGTCTGCAAACACAGCTCTCTAAAGCAATGCAATTTTTAAACAGTTCATTCAGTTACTGTTTGCTTCATGCTACATATTTCAACAAGGAACTTGAAGTTAATTCTCTAATTCAATATCCCTGACAACATATGAATGCCTAGAATATGAGTCATATTCTTCAAAGAAGCCAATTGTTTCTCTTTAAAATACAGTATTGCAGAGTCCAATCTCTTAAAAAAAATGCTCCTCTCACACCACATGCATTTCATTATTTTATTAGAATGTGATTTCTGCAGAGCAGCTGCCCTTGCCAAAAATAGTCTAAATGGTTGCCTTCTGCAAACTGAAATATCTTCTATTTCTTTCTGTTAGTTTAAGAAGGTGAAGCTGGAATTGCTTCAAGCTCTCAGTAGAATAAGAAGCAGTTATGAGACTATTGTTTTCCTATATTTTACCAGGATAAAGAGAGAGAAACATCTAGCAATGGGAGAGACAAAGACATTTTCTAAAATTAATATAGAATAGTTGTCAATCAGGACCTAAATATAGATAATAAATGAGGCATTCTCACAACATATGCCAGCTCATTTCATATTATTTCTTAAGAGAAGCTTTGGGAAATTCTGAGACTTCAACTTTTCTTAGCATTGAGAAATACATACAAACTCTATTTAAAATTGTATAGTTAATTTTTATAACACTTGCTCAGCAGTAGTAAATAACACAACTGTTCACATTTCTTTTGTTTTAAGTAAGTAAAAATGAGAAGTGAGATGCTTTTGCTATCAGAGAGACAATAAGTGAGGCCATTTTAATGAAAATTCATTGTATTGAAAAAAATCTCGGCAAAATTTATTATGTGTACTAAATAAACCTATCCATATGTTCTCTATACAAAATATGGTAGGCAAAACTTTGGAAATTCAAATTGTAAAGATCTTATTTACTGATGTTCACTGTAGTAATTTATTTTTTCTGGTAATTAATATTTCATTTATAACCCATGACAGGGAATTCAGAGTTTTATCCTTGCAAATACTATCAGTTATGTCTTTATTTGATTGCCACAAGTAATATGTTTATTTTCTTTGTACTGGTAGAGGAATGTGCAGTATTATTTTTTTAAAAAGAAGCCCAACTGAGTTGAGAAAGTGAAACTCATTCTCATATATTTACTTTAACACCCAAAACTTCTTAGAACATTCACTTCATACCACTACAGCTTGGTTATTGTGATTGTAACCTATCTAACCATTACTGCCTTAACTTGTGGATATATCACAAAGAAATTACAGTGAGAATTAGTAAATCTACTTACTTATCCAGCCCTTGATTACCCATTTAAAAAAGTAACTAAAACAGCATGGAATCTAGCAACTCTTTTTCAAGTACATATGGTAATCTTGTGCAGTTCTTTATAAGAAATGTAAATAAGGAAGACAACAACAATAACACAAAAACAAAAATGAGAAATATAGATGAAATAAAGGCATAGATATACTAAAATCCCACTCACTGTATTAAAGTACACACAAAGTAATTATCATTTACTTTATGGAATATATTCTTTATGCGCAGGTCTATAAAATTTTTAAACAAATAATTTTTAATACTGGGGACATCGGGGTTTCTTTGGTAATGGAATCATTATGAAAAATTTATCATAATGAAACTTATAAAAAACCTTCAAGGCAAATGTTGGAATGGACTTTCAGGTACTATTGCTGTTTCTAGTTTTAAAAATTAAGCTTTACAAAGGAGCAAGAAGGGGGTAATCAAATCTCACTTTCTATAAGCCCTCAAGGTGGCTTACACAAGTTTAAAAAGCTTCTCAGTGCCAGTGAATTTCAGTTAATTTGACACATCAAGTCCCTATGCATTTGCATCTGAAAAAGTCACTAGTCTTGCAAACAAACCACTCTAAACAAATTGATCGGAGCATTTATGTACTCCATTGCAGTTTTGTTTTCCAATTCACAGTCTTTCCAATGGGAAAGAACATTTTATCCAGTGTGTTTTTTCAGCAGGATTTCCCATTTTTCCAGGAACACTATCAAATCAGAACCTGTCTTTGTTGCTGA